GTTCCCCGTTACCCCGTACCGTCCGTACCCAACCTACTTACGTAAGTAAGTAATTAATTAGTAGGTACGGGTACGTCGGTGTTTAGTTACGTACTACTCTCTCTCTCTCTCTCTCTCTCTCTCTCACCTATGTAGTAGATATAATGAGGTAGTACTGGCGATTAGCAATCTTTCTCTCTCTCACACACACATACACACACAACACCTATCTAAGAGATGGTACGAGCTAGTGCCAATGTTTTAGCGGGATCAGTGGGAACCAAACCGTTACTCATCGGAACACAAAATCGGTCGAATGTTAGAGGGATTCACCTGATTCTGTCATAGAAAACTCTCTCTCTCTCTCTCTACACCGGTATGAGTTAGTGGCAATGTTTTAATGGGATTAGTAGGAATTGAGATTTACTTGTTTATGTCAGAGAATTGGGTAAGTTTGTCAAGAAATTGGGTGATTTGCATCGGCCAAATCACTTAGCTTGCATCCACCATAAACATTTTTGTGTGTGGTGGTGAGTGTGCTGCATAGCCATTACACAGCTCTCTCTCTCTCTCTCTCTCTCTCTCTCTCTATGTGGTGGTGTGAGCGGAATCGCAGGGAATCTATAGATGGTGAAGGTGATGGAGATGGATGATTGGGTGTTGAAGGTGGGTGAAAGCGGTATCCATATAGCTCTTTATGAGAAAAGGATGAGTAACATGGCAATTAGGTAGACCAGATATATAGAGATGGCACTTGGGAGAGTTGGCTAAACTTCTTGGGTATAAATCATCCAAAGTTCTCTGATATGTGTGATATGTGTGCATGTGTGAGTGAAGAGAGAGCCCATTAAAATTACCGTGAGCAGTCGCATAGTGAGGATTTCAAAAGAAAATAGGAAAATACTGAGGATTTCAAAAGAAAATTGGGAAATAACATTCGAGGGAGCAAAGCCTCACACAAAACCATTAAGGGTGGAAGCATTTTAATTGTGATTGAAAGGTTTAATTTTTAGTTTTCATTTCAATTTGGTACTTCCTAAAAAAAGTATCTTTCGAATGTCCAAGTCGTCCGTATCCAGGGTTCCTAACCTTGGATAAGTAACAGGCATTTCAATAATTTAATCCACCCTAAACAAGTGAAAGTGAAGGTATTCCTGTCATTTGGATAGAGCTTTTTAGGCCAGTCCGATTACTAAAATGGTCTCACTTATTTAGAATTTCCATCTCGAAAAAAGGGGATAATTCAAGCAATTTCTAAGATTTTTTTTTCAACTCCCAAATGAACAGAAATCAAAAAGTAAATCATCTAAATGTTAATTAGGATGATGGTGTCACCCACTTGTGAGGTGTTAGAATCGCTTAAATAATATTTTCTCAAAAAAATAATGTGTCAAAGTTGACAATCATCTTCGATGAATTGAAGTTATAAGGATGTGATCGAGTACGTCTCGACACTTGGACATGTACAGACGCAACATCAATACTTGTGTTTGATGACATCATTGAGTATATGTCTTGACACTTAGACATTTACAGACACGACATTAATACTTGTGTTTGATGACATCATTGAGTATATATTGAAAGCTTATATATGAGTGTTACGCATTTTTTACAAACATCCTTTAATGGTTTTGGTGGTAGAGGTGGTTGTTGGGCAGTGAATAAAACCATTTTTCATTTTTTCAGAGCTTTTATATTATAAAGATAGGAGAAAGCCTGATTGCGGCATGGCTTGAACTTTGGAGGTCTTTTACAATCAAAGGTAGTGGGGTTTGATCGTGCAACTTCTTGACCAGAGCTAATCAAGAAAATGCTAACCCTACCACCATCGCAGTGCGGTAGCTGTAAAATTAATGAGAGTTATATTATATATAATTATTTTATTAAAAAAAATTGATAGTACGGATGTGTAAAAAATTATTGACAGTTTAGCTTCACAAACTTGATAGATAATTTGACGTTCTGGCCTGACATACTAGATACTTCCATAAATTTCAACATTAAGAGCAATCATCTTTGATAAATTGAAGTTATCATGATAAACCCGGTAAAATAAATTTATTATGATGCTGTAAAGCATTCTGTTATTGTGTACATTCTGAAAGGCAAATTATCAATTTGAAAGAATCGATTTGAAGTTTGAACAGAAGTAATTCATTCACCTAAAAACAGCTCCAAAAAGAGAATGAGGCTGGGGTTGTGATGGTAGTACCACTTGAGCTCCAATTAAAGGTCGCGGCCCCATTCTTACTAAAACTTTGATTTTCAAAAATAGCTAGGGCTTTTAATCCCCGTTGACCTACTCATAAAAATAAAAAAGAGCTCCAAATGTATCAATAATGCAAATGGAGAGCAATTTGCAAGGAATTAATAATAAAGATATAAGTTAAAGCCACTAAGATAGAAAACAAGATTTGATATTTTAAGATTTGAATACAAAGTATTGTTCACTTTTATTATGCGGAATTTTATGCTGTTGAAGTAGGCATTGATATGGCTCTAGAACTTGAATGTTTTTCCCTTCAAATTGAAAGGGATTCGTCATTGATTGTAAATGCTATTCAAGGGGCACTGCACGACTTCATGGACACTTCACATGGGAGCCAGCTGCTGTCAAAAACTCTTAGACCATAGGTGGAGCATTCCCACATCTATCGTGAAGCCAACATGGTAGCAGATAAACTTGCCAAGAATGGGATATCTTTCTCAATTGCTACCGTTTAGCATGCTAGACCACTAGATTTCATTTCTTTGTCTTTTAACTCATGATTTGGCTCAACTGCCTTATGATATGATTGTAACACTATGATTTGTATCTTCCCTATTTTTATTTAATGAAATGGGTGTGGGTCTTCTCCCCCATTAACTTACCCAAAAAAGAGTGTTATTGACAGCTATTTGTAAGCTTTTTAACATATCTATTTTTTTTTTTTTTTATTAGGTGTGGATTATATAAGGCTAAGGCCCTAAACAATCGATTTAAGATGCACCTTCAAATATTACCGAAAGATGTTGTTTCAATATTGAAAATCTTTGTCATGGCCTGAAAATTATTTTCATATCTAATTATAAAATTTAAAGCTTCAAAAATTGTGCAGATTGAGCAAATCTAAGAAGACCTGAAAATCTTAAAAATTGACGGTCCATAAAATGCTTTACAATATGTACTATTTTCAAAACTTAAAATCCATTTTTTCCCATATCCATACATCGGGAGGTTGAGATGATCGATTTGAGTATTTTGTACATCGAAACAACATCTTCCAGTGAATTTTTGAGGTGCACATTAATTTGATTGTTTAGGGCCTCACCTTTTTATAAACTATTTCTTTTTTTATTATGCACCATTTTAGTTCATACATGTTATTGTCAAGAAGGGATTATGGCATAATTAACAGTATCCCTAGTTTAAAAGTAAGGTCCCTGCAATTATCTAATAAATTCTCAATTAAAAAGACAAATGCGATAATGCCCATCTATCTTTTGAAAAGTAAGGGTAGGTGGATTGGTAGAGGTAGGGGGAGCCATCTTTGAATGTAAGCGTTGGTGTGTAGGCGTGGGTAGTCAGGTGTCTTATTGTGGCTGCATCACAGGATGCTAAGACTTTCCAACCCAGAACTTTTTGATCAACGAAATGCGGAGGTTGCTGAAGTATCAAGTGGTTTGGAATTTAAACTTCCCATATAATAAATTA